TCAGAGTCAGCCACAGTTTGTTATGATCCACACAGTCAAACGCCTTTGCATAATCAATGAAACACAGATAGACATTCTTGTGTTATTCTCTGCTTTCAGCTAAGATCCATCTAACATCAGCTACAATGTCCCTAGTCTTAGTAATTAATTTCCCACTATTATAGGTGTGGAAGGACAAGCCAGATGGTTAGCAGGGGGAATTTAAGCCTTTGTTTTCAACGGAAACAGAAATAAAGTACTCAATATGAGATTACAAATTCACAACATTACTAAAAATTTACCCCAAAAGATTCTTAAAAAATAATTTTTGAAGTTTTTTGGAATTTATGTGAACTGCAAATTTGTCTATAGACAAATGGATTATTATTATTATTATCTTTATTGTTATTGTTACCATGTTACCATATTGTTGTTGATTGCCTTCGAGTTCAGCATGACTCACACTGACCATCTGAACAAAAGGCCTCAAGCCCCACTACAACTATTGACATTTATCGAAGTTCATAGAGTTTCAGCTTCTCTGACAATCACTAAACAAGCTCAAACATCATTGTACTTAATAAAGCTATTTATTGTATAAATTTACTTTAGCTTATATTACCTTATAAAGCATTTACTTTTTACTGAATGTACAATAAGTAAGTAAATAAATTAATTAATTGGGTACTTCTTAAATACAGACCTGATTCTTACATTCCCAATATTTTTTCTCATCAGATATTTCTTTGTGGCCTATAGGCATTTGATGTTTAACAAATATTTCATGTGCTTTTCGTCAAAGGTGATCATGTTATTATGTGCTGTCTAGTTGCCTGCAACTCATAGCAACCCTATGTACAACAGCCCTAAACCCTGTTCTATCCTGTGCCAATCTTATTGTCAATAATACACCTACCCAATTACCCAAGTCACTGAATTAATCCAGCTCATCAAGGAAATTCCTCTCTTGTGTTGTCCTTCCAACTTCCCAAGCATGACGTCTCCCAAGCAGGACTGGCCCCGCCTTGCAACATGTCCAAAGTATGTCAGATGAAACTTCAGAATCCTTGCCTCCAAGGAGCAGCCTGCTTTCACCCTCTCTAGGGCAAAACTGTTTATCCTCCTGACAGCTCATGGCATATTCAATACTCTCCTCCAGCACCAAAGCGCAAAGACATCAATTCTCCTTCTACCATCCCTGTCATTGTCCAGCTTTCCATAGTAAGTAATGGCAAAGATTATGGCTTGGATCAGGCGCACCTTAGTCTCCAGACTGATATCTTTGCTCTTCAATATTTGCAGAGGTCTCTGACAGTAGAATTTCCCAATGCAATTTTTCTTTTGATTTCCTGGCTGCTGGTCCCAAGGGTGTTGATTGTAGACCAAGCAATCTCTTTACCATCTCTCATGATGCTGCCTACCGGCCCAGTGGTGAGAATCTTTGTTTTCTTGCTATTGAGCTTCAATCCATACTGAAGGCTACAGTCCTTGACCTTCTGCAGCAAGCACTTCAGGTCCTCCTCAGTTTCAGCAAGCAGGGTTGTGTCATCTGCATAACACAGATTGTTGATGAGTCTTCCTCCAATCCTGATGCCACATTTCTCCTCATAGATCCCAGCCTCCTGAATAATCTGTTCTGTACATAGATTAAAATGGTACTGAGATAGGACACATCCCTGTCATACGCCCTTCCCAATTTTGAACCACGCAGTTTCCTTTCTCTGTTCTGACGACTGCCCCCTGGTCCAAGTATAGGCTTCCCATAAGCATAATAAAGTGTTCTGGGATTCCAATTCATACTTTGAGACGTATGGAGTAGAAATATATTCAAAGAGGTGAGTAGAAAAGAACAATGTCCACTCTTTCTTTCTGAGAGTTTATGATAATGATATAGAACTTGGTGTTCAGACAAATTCCATCATTTTTGCAAAAGAAATAATGATACATTTTGGTTTTCTATCTCAGGCTCAAAAGTCAAAATGAATTTTCTGGTACTTGAAGTCACTGTTGGGCTAACTTTGCTGTTGGGAGTGCAAGCTATGCCTACAAATCGACTCTCCTGCTACAGAAAGATACTAAAAGATGGCAACTGTCACAACCTTCCAGAGGGAGTAGCTGACCTGACACAGATTGATGTAAACATCCACAATCATTTCTGGAATGGGAAGGGATGTGAGATGATCTGTTACTGTAACTTCAGCGAACTGCTCTGCTGCCCAAAGTAAGAAAGTAATAAATGCATTGTTATTAAATGTATATATATATA